TGGAAGGGCCCTTAAAGATCATCTAGTTTCAAGCCACGGCTAGGGACAGCTCCCACTGGACCATCCTCTGGCTTTTTATTATTTTTTTTTCTGTTTTGTGCTCCACGCAGCACAAGCCCTTGTGGACTGAACTTGGGGAGATGTTGGGCGCAGTTTCCCGTGTGTGTGTGTGCTCAGCCTGCGGGCTGGCACAGTGCTGCTTTTCTCGGGGACGTGCTGTGCTTTTGCCAGTAAATAAGCTTTTCAGTTAAGTAACAGCATTAATAATGGGCCTCTGTGCATACCTGAAGGTAGGCATGTCTCAGGGAAACCTGGGCTTTCACAATTTAGAACGCTCTAGAAGTAACATTGTGGTAATTCCTTGTCTCCGAGCGTGTTTTTCAAGCTATCAAGCAGATGTACCTGGCATAAGTTTATATCGGCAGAGCAGGATATTTTAGTAAAGGAAACCTGACAGCTGCTTTTAAATATGCTAGATGTGCCTATTGAAGATAAACTGAATAGACAGTAACAGCCCTGACCTGACTTTATAGCTTTATTTACTCCTGAAAATGCTCTTTGTTAGTCCTTACCAGCCAAAATGTGTGCGGTTAAAATGCTGTCCCTTACTTTGTAGCATTTAAAATAACACTTTTCTAGGCACTGCTGTATATTGACAAGCTGTTACTTTGTTTTCTGCAGGGGAGACTACCTGCGGTGCTGCAGGTTCTGTTACCCTTTATGTGCGTTTGTCATTCTTGCTGCTTGTGTGGTCGCATGTGTTGGCTTAGTCTGGATGCAGGTGGCTCTCAAGGAGGACTTGGATGCAATAAAGGAGAAGTTTCGAACTAGTAAGTATGAATGTAGCTACTATTTCACATTTTCTTTGGTTGCTTGCTCAGTCAAAGTCTGAAAATACTGAGTAGACAAATAACATCTGAATTGAGGAGTGCTCTGAGCCAAGAACAGAGAACCTTAGTGAATCTAAGGTGAATGCTAGATATTCTTGCCTGCTCTGTTTCTTTTGAGGAGCAGGGACACTGGACTGTGTGGGCCTGTAGTTGCTTGTGGATACATTTCTAAAATTCCTGACTTTGATCTTCAGAGTGCTCTCTTCCAAAGGACAAGTTCTGATCAGACCTGTCAAAGCAGTCTAGGGAATTCTGAAAAAAAAAAAAATTTGGTCTTGTCTTGAGCTCTTTTAAAACCTCTGATACTTGCTATGGAATTCCTGCTGTTTGAATGTTGCTTCAGTACTATATTTTCTCTCTGTATCCTCTGAATGTTTGTTTTGCTTGCACTGACCTGTTCTTGTTCAACTTTTACGTCAGATTACGTGTGGTGTGGAGTTAATATGTTTAGTACTTTGAAGTGTGAGTTAAGATAAAGTGTTTTGCTTGTAAAGCTCAGGTTTTCTCTGTCCGTGTCAAGATTCCCATGCCAAGATTTTCAAGATAATAACTTCTGTAGGCTGAGGTATAACAAATGGTGATATGTGCATGTAAGGTGTGCTCTTGGCTCTCTGTACTTCACTTCTGGGCACAAGATGTGTTTTGGTGCCTTATGTTAGTAGTGTTTGAAATCCTGTGTAGATTAAAAAGGAGTTGTCTTGGTTGTGATAAAGGAGGCATTGAGGAAGTGTGTGTAGGAATTCTTTGGTGTTGGTTTTTGGGTGTTCCTGTTCAGAGTGTGAGGTGGGAGTTGTCTGCCAAGGTGGAACAGGCTGGCTGGGTGTGAGAGGCTTGCTGTCCACCCATTCTGCAGGATTCCTTCAGTTCCAGGTGCTGCTTTGTGGCTGTTTCTGTGTTCTGGGTCAGGACCTGCTGCTCTTCATGAACTGCTCCCCTTAAAGGGTGTGCTGCTGGTAAAAGTTTAGCACCAGGACAGCATTTGTTGGCTTTGGTGTGGCTAAGTTTCATCATTCCTGTTGGACACAGAGCTCTTTGTTACAGCAGCTGTTCTCCCTGTCTGGCAATTACAGATGGCCTTGTTTTCCTCTTAATAGCTCTGATAGAAAAGCTGTGCATTTAATGCTTTGCCTGGTGATAAACGTGTCAGATTTCCTTGCCATCATAATGCCATGCCTAGGAGCTGGATGGGAGTCTCATAATGAGGCACAGAATTTAAATACAACAACAAAAAAAGCAGGCAGCAAGAACAACCTGGTTCTCAAAGGTAACATTTTGCCTTGGTGAAGTGTGTGGGTGAACAGAGAAACAAAGGCAGGTGACCTCCATCTGTCATACAGCAAGTTTGGAAAAGGAACCTTTCTCTGAATCTTCATCCAGACTTTTTTCCCCATAAGAGCAGGTGTTTGTGACAGTATTTGGTATGTTCTGCCATCCTTTGCACAAAGTAAGCATGGGATGAGTGCTTTTTATAAACAAGATGTCTTTGCATCAAGTGTGTTTGGAACAGGAGGAAGTCATGTAGTGTTTTCCCTTCAGTTGTCAGCAGTGATGCTAAGAACACGGGGCATTTAACCTTCCTAGTGCTCCAAAAAACTCTTCAAGTGGAGTCCCACTGTTCACAGTGACAAAATGGAAAATAATTTGTCTACAAGAACCTATAAATACATGAGACTTAGTGTGAGCTGCTTGTGTCAAATGCACAAATTAGTTCTCAGTCTGTTTTGGCTAAAATACACCTTTCAAGGTCTTACCTACCCAGAAGCATTTGGACCTTGGGTGATCCAGTGCAGATTTCTTTGCACCTAGAAAGTATTTCTAGAATTTGCTTAAAGAGAAGTGAGGTGGGTTTCTAAATATGCACAGCTTTCCAGTTTTGTGTGTTTGGGCTTCTCCTTTTGACTGGATGGGTCACACTTGGAAGTTTATTCTGGGATCTGCCAGCTACACATCACACAGGTGCCACTGCTCTTGGCAGTCTGCTCTGAACAAGGGCTGATTGTTGTGGAGCTTTCCAGTGCTGCCTTACAGGGTGGATGTGCAGCTTTTGGAGAGCTCTGTCATCTTCATCTCAAAACCTTTGCTTGTGTGTTTCTCAGACCTAGGGATTTAGGATTGCCTCACAGCACAGCTAAACAGCTTAGTCACTGCAGGTCTGGAAGAGCTGCATTTCTGAGGCTCACTGGAGTTGCTTTGAGCTGCTTGTTTCCCCCTTCCTGTAATATTAATTGCAGTAATAACTGACTTAATTTCCAAGGACCTTGTTTACTGATTTGTTTACCAACAGGCATTAGTGCCTAAGCTTGTACATTATTTTTTCAGTTGTCTTTATGTCACACAGAGCAACTAATTACATTAATCTCCTTGGAATTCACTTCATTGTCAGCAGCCCCTCTGCAGGCTTGAAAAGGACCCTGAGGTTCATTTCACCTGCCTCCTTTGCCCTGGGACTGTTGGCAACTCTTTATTCACAGGCCCATTACTATTTCATGTTCCCCTGTGGAGGTAATGCAAAATAACTGCACTAAATAAAGACCTACTGAGGTTTGCCAGAATGACAGGACTATGCAAAGTGTTAAATTTAGTACAGTCTCTCTGGGTTCTCTCTGCAGATATTGGTACTCTTAAAACAAAAAGTAGCTGTCATTCTGAGCACACACTGAATCCAGACTGGCAATAAACCTCTATATAGAAACTGTTATTGCCTTCTTTCACTGTTGTGGATGTTGCTGTTTGTAACTTATTTTATGCCTTTTAGTGTTGTTTGCCTGGATCTTTGTTTTGGTTTGCTTTTAATTATATTTTCATTCTTTTAGTGGAATCTAATCAAAAGACATCATTCCAAGAAATTCCTAAACTGAATGAAGATTTGGTGCAGAACCAAAAGCAGCTAGAACAAATTGAGACTGGAGAACTGGGCCTGAGTAAAATTTGGATCAATATCACAGAGATCAATAAACAGGTGAGAGGGAATCAGACCTTGGTTTTGAAAAATAATAAAATATTCCATTCAGTTCTTTTTAATGGAAATTAATTTTATCTAAGGACTTCTGTAGCCATATATGTAGCTTTTATTTTTAAAGTTCAAATAGAGTATAAACCTCATTATAAACAAGCAAAAAACAGCTTGAGCATCCAGCTGGGCTGGAGACTGATCACAAGAGGAGAAATTGCATAACTGGTGGGGGGAGTTCAGGCAGAATTTAAAAGAACCCAAGAACTGTGCAATTCTTAATTTTCCTGCCAAATAATTGTGATGTTTATGATGAGAGATTTGACATTTCAAATTTCTGAGAGTGTTTTGGAAGTGTTTGGAAGAGTTACCTGCCTCAGAGCAAGCTCCTGTTGCTACAAGCTAAGGCCTGGTGTTCTGTGATTATAAAAACTGCTAACACACACTCAGCCTCTGAGCTGGTGTAAATCTTGGCTCTGTTGGTGGGGTTAGAGCTAAGCCACTTAGCAGAGAGCTCTTTGCTCAGCTGCTCTATTAACTCACACTTCAAATGAGGCATCCAGCAAGGCTTTTACTGCAATTTCTGCCCTGCAGGGTAAAAGTTGAGCTGCTGACAGTGAATGGTATCAAGAGGTGTATGGTGGGGAGCTCTTCTTGACCCAGCTGCTCTGGTTTAATTTGTTAGAGTACTGAAGTTCCTGCTTAGATTGATTTTTCTTCAGTCCCTTGTGGTGGTTAAGTGCTTACTGGAGCACATCTGAAAATTTGATTTGCTTTCTTTAGCATCTCACTGTTTTAGCCACAGTTATTCAGGCTCTTCATGAGACTTAAAATGCTCTTATCTGCACCTGGCTGTTAAAGATACTTGCATGTGGTTCTTGCAGGTCCTCAGGTTACTTCAGGGTCTGGTTACACTCTGAGCCAGATCTTCAGGGGATCAACATTTTCTTGCTGTTTTTTTAAATCTGTGAATTGTTGGGATGTGCTGCTGGGAATAATCTCAGCTGGTGTTCACAGCTGTGAGCTAGAAAATCTGCATGCCAGCTGGTTTGCATTGACCTAATGTAAAATTAGGATCTTTTCCTCAGCTTTTAAAAAACAACTTTGTTTTTTAACCAGAAGAAAGTGAATTTTAGTCTGTTCCACTTGTGTAGCAGAGGGTTTGGATGATGGATGCAGCTTTGCCATCACTCAGCTGGAGAGGTTGCATGCCTTTGCTGGGTTTTGCCAGACAAGTTTCATTGCTAAATACAGAAGTGGGTGATGGTTTCCTGTACATGAAGACTTCTTGCACAATTCTTTGAGTCTTTCTTGGGCATCAGCCTCTCTCTAGGAGGATGAATGTAAAATTGGCAGAGGTTACCTTACTGAAAGGAAGGGTTTTCTGTAGCTTTCATTTGGTTTTAAAAAATAGTTAAATAAAAACTTGCTCTTTTGTAAGAGGCAGAATATTTTTAATGTAGCCTAGGCAAGATTTCTAACCTAGAGGGAGGGGTGGGTTTTGTGTGCACATGTATAATTTTGTATTGCCTTATGTTTTAATGTTTCACATTAAGCCATCATTATTGGGGGAGGTCAGGATCAGGATTGTGTTGCCTAATTCTAAGTACTCCTTTTTGGTTTTAGATATCACTATTAACCTCAACAGTAAATCATCTCAAAAACAATATAAAATCTGCTGCTGACCTGATTTCTCTTCCCCTCACAGTAGAGAAACTTCAGAAGGTAAGTTCTGCAAATGTGCCTATCACTAAATGTGTTCTGTGTGTTAAGCTGCCCTGAGCTCTTGGGGACAGCACTGACAGCAGGAGCTACCTGAGTTGCAAGGAATATTTGTATTTAAAATTTGACTTCATAAATTGTATGGTCCTAGCTAAAAAATGTAAAGGCTTTGTTATCCCTTTTGGAGATGCATTTGTTTGTATTGTGCTGTCCCATTGGAGCTGATCTTTCTGATTACTTTCTTTCAAGTTGCTAATCTTAATATCATGTGAGACACTTGGAAAAAGTTTTATAAAAAACTTTAAATTGGAAAATGAAATGTTTTCTGTTAATACAATGTCTGACTGTGTGCCTTACTGAGCATTCTTTACCAAAGAACTGTCCTGTTTATTTAGGTTAAAAGAATGGCTTCTTGAAATGTACCTGGTTATTCCATGGCAGTTCTGTTTATGTAGCAATAAACATTTATGTTGGGCTAACACCTAATGTTAGTCCAGTCTTTGTGGCTTGATGGGTTGCCACATCTCATTTCCTATCCCTACAAAATTAGTGTATAATTAACAAGATAGTGAGTGACATGCAAAGCAATGAGTGTGGTGTGGCTGATGGGGCTGCCAGGATTTCTTTTTCTGGGAGGAGTACAAAGCTGTTTCCTAAGCTCCTTATTTGCTGCTACAAGCAGGCTGGATTTTCACTGTGTCCTGGTCAGAAGCAAGTCTGAAGGCATGTTGCTGTCAGGAGGAGTGTGGCCAGCAGACCAGGGCAGTGATTGTCCTGTACTGGGCATTGCTGAGGCCACACCTCAAATCCTGTGCCCAGGTCTGGGCCCCTCAGTTCAGGAAGGGCATTGAGGGGCTGGAGAGTGTCCAGAGAGGAGCTGGGCAAGGGTCTGAGGAGGAGCAGCTGGGGGTGTTTAGCTTGGAGAAAAGGAGGCTCAGGGGGGACCTTATCACTCTCTATAGCTCCCTGAAAGGAGGTTGCAGCCAGGTGGGGTGGTCAGGCTGTTCTCTCAAGTGACAAGAGGAAATAACCTAAAGCTGTGCTGGTGGAGGTGTAGATTGGATTACAGGAAAAATTTCTTCACTGAATAGTTTGTCAAACACTGGCTGCCCAGGGAGCTACTGCAGTTGCCATCCCTGAAGATATTTAAAGGGCATGAATAGGAGCTTGGGGACATGGATTAGTAGTAGGCTTGGCATTGCTGAGTTAACAGCTGGACTCAGTCTTAGAGGTCATTGCCAGCCTAAGTGATCCTATGACAAGATTGCCTTTCTTATGTGGGATTTGGTTATCTTGAGCCTTTTTCCTTGTAGGTACCATTCCCGGAAATAAGGATGCCTGCTGGTGTTAAAATCCTGAGGGATTACTGAGGGAATTCCTCTTGGGCAGTGGCTTTTGTTCCTGGTGCTCAAGGTGTCCTGAGGTCCTCCAGGGCACAGGTTGCATTGGGTGTAGTTTGCAGTTTTGAGTGCATAAAAACTTCCAAATTCTTCAAAGTTATGTGCCTGATTTTGTTTCACTAACAAAATGTTGTGTTTAACTGATTGGTACTTTGGGACAGTGCAGTTTGGGGAAGGCTGAGCTTTCTATCATCTTTTCTATTGCAGACTGTAGCCAACATAGGTAGCACCCTTACTAGTGTGGCTCATGATGTTGAAAATATACAGACAGCTATTGAGGAATACAAGAAATCCATAGAAATACTCCAGAATGATGTGGTAAGAAAAATACACTGCTTTCACACTAATATGAAGCAAGTTAAAAGAAATGCTTGAATTTTGGGGATGTCAGAATATTGATATAGTTTGTTGGTTGGATTAAGTATCTCTATTAGGATGAAATGACTGACTGTCTTCAGCAGAAACTACTCACTGTGTTTATCCTGACCTCTCACTTGGTATTATTGAACCAATAATTACAGTTTTTCAGCTAAACTGCAGTACAAGAATTCTCTCAGATAAAATCTGAATTAGACACATAATTAAGCTTGATTCAGTCAGTGGGTGCTCTGAAAACATTGCAGATATGGCAGCATGTATGGTAGCAGTGAAATGTGTATCATAATACTTCATTAAATGGGGAAGAGTTAATTAGGGGGGTTTAATGAAAATAAATTTGGACCTTAAGTGTTTAACTATTAGCCTAGTTAAGATACTGCATGCACAGCAGACTGAGTGACTGTACTTGTAACAAAACATCCTTTGCTACAGTCTGCCAGTTATTAAACACTTATTCACAGGGATTTTGTAACACAATTTTCTGCTTCTTTCCTTAGAAGGAATTAAAACAGCTGCCTTCACTTCCCTCCACTGTTGTGCCAAGGACTGAGGGAAATCAGACAGAATACTGTAAAAAGGTATTTTTCTCCCTTGTATAAGGAATTTTGGTACAAGTGTCATGGATGTGTGATTTACCCATGTGTTTTGCAGTACTGTAGTGTGCAAAAAGTGTGGTTTTTACCAAGATAATGCAGATAGCATGCTTTAAAGCTAATAATAAGATAATTTTGCTCTAATTTGTTCCTGTGTATGTGCAAACAGGAAAGTGCCCTGGTCTGAGAGAGGGGTATTTTGTGTTCTGACTGGGTTAGTAGTAAAAAGAGTGAAACCAATATCTGACTAATTATAGGTGTGCTTTACTAAAGTAAATGAAAATAAGTTAAAGGCTTTTAGTGGAGTGGATTTTATGGCAGGTATTTGCTAATCTGAGCAAACTTGGGAGTGGCATGTACTGAGTCACACTGTAATGAGGTGTGGAAAACAGTAATTCAGCAACCAAAAAAAAAATTAAAAGGTTAATGTGTAGGTGTTCAGCTGAATAGGTTGGAAGAGAATGACTGCATTTACTTACATTTAATACAGTCAATATCTTCCTCAAAAATAAATCCTGTATATAAATATGCCCAGTACATGCTTTCTTGGGAAAAATCATTGTTGTGCTTACAAAGCTTGACCTGGAAAATGAGATGAATAGGCTTTCTGTGTTCACTGCACAGCTGAAGTGATTATATTAGCAACAAAGAGGTTAGCCCTGGGGAAGAATCTCAGTTTCAAACTTTTAGAAAGTTAGAATAACTTTCTGGAAGCTTCCAGTTGGATGTTTTCAGTGGTGTCAGAGGAGAGCCAGCCTGAAGCCTGCCCAGTTAAACTGGGTCAGTCGTGTTGTTAATAGCAGGAGTTGCTGCAGAGGTTGGGTAAACTGACACAAGCTCTGTTTATATTTCAGGAAAGCCAGGCACTGCATGCAGCTTTGGAACAGCTAAATAATACTGTAGTGGTGTACCAAAAGTTGAATGACATCAAGCTTCTAAATGTGGATTCAGCCATTGGCAACCTCAGCCGGAAAGTTACGCTGTTGGAAAACTCTCCCCTGGTTGTGAAAAACCCGGACAAAAGAGAGAACTCATCCACCATCGTGGTAAGGGTTTGGTGGCTCAGGGTGTCTCCTCAGGCTGCTACTTCCCTTACACTGCAGATACAGCTCTTCAGAGCTAACTCAAGAAAATGTCAGAGTGAAACTTGAGATACTTAGGAGTTCATTTAAAAAAGGCTGGAGTTTGTTCCTGAACAGATAGCCAGCATTAAGAGTGTCTCAGAAGCAGTATTTAATTTCTTTCCTGCAGTATCTACAGGAAAGTGTCCAAAATACTGTGACATTTAAGAATTGGATGGTTGTTTTATGAGGCAGGCTTCACAAACTGAGCTATGTTTCAGGAATCACTCTGGCATAGATATGTTAAGACCCACTGAGGGGCTAAGTGAGACTCTACATTTGTTCAACAGTGGTTAAATTCTAAAAAAAAACAGTAATAAAAAAAACCCTTATAAATAAGTTCATAAATTAATTCTCCTTCATAAATTCTTCCAGTGTTTTCTGTTGGCCACACTGGGGTCAGTCTGTGAGAACATGTTCTGTATGTTTAACAATAAAGGCACATGCTGACGTTGCTGTGGTAAATTATATAACCCATTTTTATGACTTCATGTTTATTCTATAATCTATCTGCCCTGGCTTATCTCTGCGTAATGTTTGCCAAATTTGAAAGAAACTCTGTTGTAGAAAATAAAAAGCACATGAGTAAACTCTCCTCTGTTTTTTCTCTAGGGGAATAATGCAACTACCTCTCTAAATGTGGAAAATGAAGATCAACTAGATAGTGAAACTCAGTCAAAAAAAGAACTGAAGGTAAAGTAAAGAAATACAAATTACACTGGATTAGTAGAGCATGTAATTGTCTTTCTAAAGATGTTTTAAATGGACCTTAATTGAGCAATGGTCTGCAAAGAGGCACTAATGGAGTCAAGGACTTGCTGAGAGCCCCTCTCAGTTATGTTCCATCACTGGCTGGGAGTGAGTACAACTGAATGGCCAAACTGTGGGCTTGGCCTAGGAGGTGATGCTGCTGAGTTTAGTTTCTTCTGCTGGAAAGAAGATGGGTGAGTGAGCAGGCTGCACTGTCATTTCTGGGCTTGTACTGATGTGAACTCAACCTGTCCTTGGGAATATTCCAATTAATAGAGTAAGGGAGCTGCAGATTAAAAAATATGGTTGTTTTATTTTAGCAGAGATGCAGTGGCTCCTGCACAAAGGCATTCACTAGTGCAGACAAACCTTTGAAACAATGATGCAGTTTAGTTAATGTGTAAGTGCTCACTCCCAAGTATGCTTGACTGTTTTGTGTTACACCTTTCCAGTGTCTTGCTCTTTCCTGTAGGAAATACAGAAAGTAAACATCAGATGCTTTTGAAATGAGTGTATGCAAAATAATTGACTGTTTTTCAGGTTGAGGTACTGATTCTGCTGTTTTCCTACAGACCATGTGAATTTATTAATTGTATCTTCCTATAGATTATTTATTTATTGTTTTAAAATCTTGTTTATAATTTTAAACTTGATCAGCCTGGATACCTCAAAGCCAGTCAGAAGTGCTGACATATTTTAAATTACTACCTTTTCTGGTCTTCTGCATTTACTGTAGAGGTGCATTTAAAGATTTCTTTTTTTTGGCACATATGCAGGAAGCAGGAACTACTAGAGATCCTCAGGTATCAAAACTAAAAGAGACTCTTCAGCTGATCAGTGCTCTCACAAGCAAGTCAGAAAATGACAGACCCATTGAGGCATCAAAGAATGGTAAGAATATCTTGTAACAGTAATCCATAAACCTGGAGCTTCCCTGTGTAATTCAAAGAATTACTAATTAAGGTGGATAATCAGACTGTTCCTTAATATTTTGATGAAGGCTTTTTAGTTAAAGTGGTAGGAAACTGATGTTGCTAAAACAGAAAACTGTGTATGACTCCAAAAGTTTGAAGGTGATTTAAAAGGTGTATGGCAGGATTCACGTGGATCAATAGCTGGTATTTGAGGGCAGGCAGTGATTAACTAAAACTTTATACCCAGTAACATCTGGTTTTGCTTTTTCAAAATGTAAGTGTGACAGAGAGGAAAGGTGTCTGCCTCTGCTGACTTCAGTTCTGCACTTGGCTGAACATCAGATTTTTTAATACTTCATTACAATAGAACTGTGCTGCTTGTTCTTTCCAAGCAGGTGCTTGGAAACCTACACCTTGTTGTTGGGGAATGTTGGTATTGATAAGGTGAAAGCAACCCAGATGCAATTTGCTTAATGAAGCTTCTTCAGCACCCTCAGAGTGGGAAGCAGAAAACACTCCCAAGTAATTCTTTTTATGGGAGTTTATAAATAGTAAGTAAATAAACACCTCCTAGTACAGAATGAAAGATTAAAGCTGTGTGACTGTTCTTTCAATTAAAGTAAAAAGGGACAACACTGCTACATTCTGAAATATTGCAGCTACAATATTGCTACATTCTAAAATATTCTTATCCCATGGAGCTGCTGTGATTTAAAAAAATCACTTTTGTTGGATTTTTGTTTGGTTTAGGTAGCTGTAATTCTGTGGAATTAGTAAGACTAATAGAAATTTTTTTGTAACAGTTGAAGGTAGTCAGACTACTACAGCAAAGCCCACAGACCTTTCAAGGGTGGCTTCAAGGTCAGCTGGTGACAACACAGAGAGAAATGGGCAGCTGAGCCATCTGTCCTTGCCAGGAATTTCCAGCATCGAAGGTATGTCCATTTTGGGCTGACCTTTTCTTCTGAGTATTTTGTGTAGATGTTTAGGAGAGGATAAGTATAAACATTCTGGGAGGTGTGAGGTCAATTTTAAAAGCTTGAGGATAATGTTGTTTTTTTTTTTTTAAAGCAATTAAGAAAAAAACTGAAAGAAAAGCATGTAAAAGAAAAGAAAGTGATTTTTAAGCAGGACTGTGCATTATTAGTGAATTATAATTGTCTTGAGTACCAAAGTATTACATTGAGTGCTCCAGAGACTGGGAGGAAAGTCAAGGGCAGAATTAACATGCTGAAGGAAACAGAAGTAGCTATGAGTATGTATGTTCTGGGGCTTTTTTCTGGTCTGTATTTTTTTTTCCAAGAGAACACTGCCTGGTCAGATGAATGGTTTCTGGATCTTGCTGTTCAGTCTCTTCAGCTCCTGAAAGGGCAACTCTTTGCATCAGGAAGTGAATAGACACTTTTCCCTTTATATCATCTATCCTGTTGGTATAGCAACAGTCATTCAGAGCTTGCTTTTGTGGGGGATAACTGCATCTGTATGCAGTTAGTGGTTGTAAAATGGGCTGTTAGTTGTAGCCCAAAATGGGGATTACTTTCTTCAGATTTAGTGTAATTTAATCAAGAAATGTTTGTGCTTTTTTCTCCTAAACTGTTACCAGCAGCTTGTGACAACGCAGGAGGCAAGCTCCTCACTCAGAGATGTTGTTTGTAATCACTGGGTGCTAAGAGACAGTGCTGTAAAACTGGGAAAGCAGCTTATAGGATATTCCTGTGGGTTTAGAGGAGCTGTTTCTCAGTCCTTGTTCTCTTTGCAGATCTTCAGAAACTGTTTGAAAAAGCACCTGCAGATGCTGATGGAAAACTCTCTTACAAAGACCTTCAAAAGCTGTTTGGCTCCACAGCCCAAGAATCAGAGAGCTTTAAGGAGTTTGACACAGATGGAGATGAGAAATACACACTGAAAGAACTGAGATCAGCATTAGGTCTATAGGGTGTATGTTTAGGAATGTGATATTGGTGGATGTTACTGTAGCTAAAGGAAGCTACAGACATGAAAATCTGTGGCTGCACTTTCCCAGTGTTTGACTGATCTTTGGAGCTAAATTACTGTACACATTGCCACCTCTTTTTCAGTTGCATTTATTGAAAAGAAATTTACAAATTTATATGTCAATAGGACATAATATTGGGACTTTGTTAAAATCAAGAAAATTCCCAAACTTGGAAACATTTTCCTCTCATTATTTCCTTTTCAAGGGAGTTATTGCTTATAATTTAAAATGTGTACATACTAAAATAAAACTATGGTTTTATATTTCACTGAAATTTGCCTTAAATTAGAGAGCTGCACTTTATGTAGAGCAGAAGGGAAATCTGTCTTGTGAAGATGGGCTGCTTCTGCTTGTAAATATTTGAGATAGAGTAAATTATGCATATTTAAGGACAAGTTGTGTCAGGGGCTGTGTTGGTAGTAATCTGTTTATAATGAGAGACTGAGCCTGGAATGGAGGTTTAAGAGATTCAGCTAAATTTCTGATTTTTACTAACTATATCCATGAATAAATTTGGCCTCAGAGGAAAGCAGGAGGGGTAAGTCCTGCCCATCTATAGCAGGATGTATTTTTAAAGGGAAGAGTTGAAAGTTTTTATATCATGAGCCTACAGGAGCAATTAACTTGCTGAGTGCTTGAGTTTTCACTTCAGCGTTGTTTAGGCTTTGCTGTGTTGCATTCAGATTATATTTTGTGAGATGAGCCTGTCTATTTATTTTTTTTAAATGAACATATTTAATAGCTTTAATAGATGCTTAAGAGGTAAAAGCCTCCAGTGCAGCCTGCTGAGCAGCACCTGAGCAGTTCATATCTCAGTGGTGCTCTGGTACACTCCAGGAGTGTGAGCAGGTGGGAAGGCCCAGAGAACACTTGGGAGCTCTTTCCTGGCTATTGTGACCGTGATCCCTTCTTGGTACCTTTATTTTTTGTCTCCTTGCCAGCAGAAGGATGTAAAAAGCTGTGTAGGCATGTGCAATCCCATCATCATTCTGTACTGACACATGGTTTGTAAGTGAGGTTTCCTTACTAAAGGAACTTAGATCATAGTAGTGGATCTAAACACAGAGTGTATTTATCACCTTCTGGAACATTGAAAAATTACTTTTGCAGAGGGGATTCTCTTGCAGGGTAGATGAGGGCCAAGTTGGGTAATTGTGCTCACAAATATCGCTGATCTTGTTAAAGAGTTTTTTGCATGATTAGTGAGTTGAAATTTCCCACCTCGCTGAAACATCAGCTTATGAGGAAGTCAGTTCATAAATGTTGACTTTTATATTACTTTAGACTGGATGTTTTATCAATAATTGTATTTTGGAAGTATGAATCAGCAAAGGAATGTACAAATTGGAGCCCTGTTACCCATTTCCTAGGCTTCTTTCACTGTTGCTCTTCTATCCTGTTTGGGTAATGCAGATGCCACCCAGTACCAAAATGCTTTTGATGTGACATTTGAAAACACCGTATTTAAAAACAAAACCAAACCAACCAACCTTGGCTTCAGAGAGGACAAGAAGCCAACACTTGCTTCTTGCCACTTCCCATACCCTTTTATACATTACTGTATAAATCCTTAACCAAATAAAGAAAAAAAAAGCAATAAAATGTAACCATTCTGATATTTTATTTGTACATAATGTATCATAGCCATATGCCAGAGTTTGCAAAATATTTTTGGAAGTTTATTTGTATGAAATTTAACTTTATCTTAAAATTTAAAAGATTATAGTACTGCCTTGTGAAAATCTTTTAGTGTTTTGTTTTTTTGCAGTCTGCTTTATTTTTAGAAGGCTTTTCAGCAAGCAGTAGTGAAAATGCCAGCTAAACCTGCTGTGTGCTGTTGCACTGCCTGTGCCCAGGGAGCTCAGCTGGTCACACTGCTGGGACACAGCTGCCCAGGGCTGCTTCTTAACTTGCATGTGGAGGGCACAGTCAATGGCTGATTGCTGGGGTCACTTGTAGGATGGGCTTGTGCTGTCACTTAGACAAAATCCGAGCATTCCTAAGTACAGTGGTCTGTTCTGTGCTGCAGCCTGGGGACACCGGTTCCATCCCAGTGAGGTTTCTGCTATGCCGCTGCTCTCCATGCTGCACGCTTCCCAAAGCCCTGGTGCCAGGTGTGGGCAGGGCTCTCTCCCATGTTTATTCACAGTGCAGATGAAAAGTCGTGAGTGTAGTAAATACACTGGTCGGATCCCCTCCCTGCCCTAACTCGTGCAGCTGCTGATGTGGTACCGAGGGGCGGCTGGATGCTCTGGGCAGCTAGTCCTTGAGAAAAATGCGATATCTGAGTGAAATCAAAACCAATGAACTTGTGAGAGCAAACTGTAACAGAAAAAGAGCTCTGCCCTGCCGAGACTTGCTGCTGTGCCGTGATTCCTGGGTTCGCTTTCGGGCTGTACCTGTGGATTTGGGTGACCACTGTGTCCCTTCACCTGCGCCGGGAGCGGGGCCGTGCCCACCGCGCTTGTTG